GAGGGACATTTTAAACTCTTTTAAAGCTGAGTTGCTGGTGAGGCCACAGATGGTTTTTAAAGGGTTCAGGGGAAATCAAGCAGTGTCTCATCTGTTGTTAATTAATGAAATGAAACTGGAGTCACTGAGTACAACAGTGAATGAAAGGTCAGTGAATGGAAAAAACTGTCAATGAAGGAGGATGTCAACGGAGTGGAACATTGTCATAGATAAAGATCAGGGGAAATGTACTCTTTGGCTGAAGTAGTGTTTTCTGGAAATGACTGGAAGCCACAGTTTGGGACTTTTCAAGCCAGACTGAGCACTAAATGATCTGATTTCAATGAAATCTGTTAAATACTTTAAAAGATTCAGCTATTCAGGTTTGTGCTAGATATTATTTGAAAAGATTGGTAAGAAGAGATTGGGGTTTTGTTTTATAATGTGTTTTACAGTGTGTTGCTATTTTTGTTTGGCTTTTTTGTTTTGTTTTGAGGCTGAACAGTGGTTTCTTTCTCTTATTTGTTTCTGTTCTCTGTCTTTGTATGTTCTAGAGCCACGCTCACTTTTAAAGTCCACCAAAGTTAAGGTGATTTAGGATCCCTGTACTAATTAACAATAGAGCTGGGCCTCGAACAGCCAGGCTGACTGATTCAGCTTATGATTATTGCAGAATTGTATCCCCTCTGATATTTGTTCTGTGGAGGATGGCCTGAAAGCCTCAACAGAGCTTCAGCATCATGTCCAATGTGCAAACTGTGATCATGAACAGACCAGTGACTATATTTACATTTCAACTAGTTTTTCTGTAAACTTTGTTATTAGTTTCATATGAAGTGCATTTAAAGAATCTCATATCTCCTGGTCATGTCAGATTTCTGTCCCATTCTTTTCTTTCATTGAAGCTTTTGAGCCATATAGCTTTGGGGAAGCAAGGCTCTTTTGTCAGCTTGGGAGAGGGACATGGCCGTTTTTTGCCTGGTACTGAGAACTGGCGGGTCACAGCTGGTGAGGCCAGGACACCACAAATATCAGCAAGGTTCTCCCTTTATCCAAGGGAGAGTTTGAAGTTAACTCCATAGGATTTAGAGAAGTATTTGTATCGTGGCTGCCAGTTTTTACACAATGTGATTCTGAGCCTCTATTTTCTTATCTGTAAATGGGAATAGTAATAGCACCAACCTTATAGGGTAATTGTAGATATTACTGAGTAAATACTTATAAAGTGCTGAGAGCAATGCTTGTCACAAGGTAGTAGTTCAGTACATTATATGATTACTTACATTATTTATGATTACTTATAAATTTAAAATGGAATTCAAGTGGAGTTTCCTTATATTCTTTGCTTTCTCTTTCTCTGAGAACATTTATTGAAATTTGTTTTGTTGGATTTAAATGACAGACCATCCCATGAACTATTTTGGAGTAAGAATAGAAAAATATATGAAAACAGTTTTTTAGAGAAATACCAGAACCATATGAGTTAATAGAACCTAAAATTTAAAGTCATACAATTAAATTATAATCAAAATAGTGCCCATCACTAAAAATGTTATTATGTTGGATAATGTGTAAGATAAGTAAAGAATGATGGGAATCTTTAACATTTACTGTTACAAGAACTACCTTGGGACTTGCAAAAAAAACAAAACAACTACCTTGGGAAAAAACACTTCACTTTAAATAATAACTGTTATATACTTAAAAAGGCTGAAAAGGAACAAAACAGTAATGGAAACAAAATTATAAATCCTAAACAGTGTGCAGTCATATACCAAAATTGTCTGATCCCTTGTCTTAGTCCATTTTCTGTTGCTAAAACAGAATACCATATAAAGAAATTTTTTTCTTTACAGTCTGGAGGCTGGGATGTTCAAGAGCATGTTGCTGGCATCTGGTGAGGGCCTTCTTGCTGCGTCATAACATGGTGGGGGCATCACAGGGTGAAGAGAGCAGGAGTGTGCCAGCTCAGGTCTCTCTTCCTTTATAAAGCCACCATCCCATCATGGGAGACCCACCCTGACAAACTTATCTAATCCTAATTACCTCCCACTGACCCCACCTCCAGTCACCATATGAATTTGGGGATTAAGTTTCAAACACATGAAATTTGGAGGATACCTTCAAATCATAGCACCCCTTTGAGATTGTCTGTGGGTTATTCTTGTAGGTGTAAGAATTCTAATTGACTCTATTCCAGTATTTGCAGTGGCTCTAGTCTAGCATTTCTGGAAGTGTGAATTCCACTAGCTGTTAATAGATTTTTAGGGGGAATTCCGTGGTCAAATGAGTTTCTGCAAACTTGGGGAAACTTATTTGACTTAAGCCAGTTTCTCTGAAGATAGTTTTAGGAGCCTTTAATATTCTAATATGTGCTGTGACTCTCCCAGGGAGATATGATATGCAGTTATTTCTTTTACTTTTTGTACCAGTATCCCATCTATCAGCTTCTTGCAGGACGCCATTGTTCTGAAGCATACTTTGGGAAGTGTAATCTTAGAAGCACTGCTTTTTTCATTTTGTGTCTCAAGTGAATCCAAACAAGGTGTAGCTAAACAATTAGCAGCAGATCAAGGGTGGAAGAAGGCCTCACAGATGATGCTGGGTACTGAATGTATGATCTACGTAATGAAATAATAATCACTGATACATATTGAATACTTACTATGTGGCAGGCACAAAATACTTTAGATGTATTAATTAATCCTCTCAATAACTCTGTGAGGCAGGTTATGATCATTATCCTCTTTTTTTTTTTTTTTTTTTTAAATTATTGTCCTCATTTTATAGATGAGGAAACTGAGAGTTAGAGTGGTTAAGTAACTTGACCAAATCAGACAACTAGAAAGTAGTGAAGCCAGGACATGAATTCAGGTACAAGAGCTTGTGCTGTTCCTTTTGCTGCTGTATGATCAGGGGGCTTGTATTTGTGTGGTGTGTGTGCTGTGGCCTCTGTGTGCGTACATGGGGCGAGGTGGGGTTGGTATTCCTGGACAAGAGAACAGCAATGGAAGTGTGAAGTAATGTTTTGTGTAGCTGGAGGTCATGTTTGGAAGTAGTAAGAAATGAAACCATGAGGGCCCTACCTATCACACAAAGGAATTTGGGATTTCTATAATGGATCCACCTTTTCTATCCATTAGGTTATCTTAAGAACTTTAGTGAGCTTGAGAACTTTAACTGGTTATGAGTTAAAAAAAAAAAAGAAAGAAAGAAAGAAAGAAAAAGAAAAGGTACACTTAGGTTAGAGGCCAGGAATGCACTCTTTTACATTTTGCAGGTGGCATAGTTGTCAACGCTTCCTGCCATTCTAGTTTGCTGCATCGTGGACCCTGTACCGAGCCTAGACAATGGAGATAGGAGTCCAGCTGAATTACGCTTGAGGTGACCATAATACAGGGGACATTAAGAGATGACTGTCTCCCCCTCTCAACTCCCTGCACTGGCAGCAGTTTCTGAGGGCATATTTTATATGCTTCCTGAAGTGGGAGAGAGTCTAATAGAATGTAACTCAATGAGAGAGAGATAGTGAGATTTTAGGGTTTTTTTTAAGCCTCAATTAAAGAGGTAAAAGTGGGTTGTACTATCATCTAATAAGACTTAAAATGCTAATTGTTTTTTAATTTAATGGTATTAAAAATATACAAGTATCTGGGCCGAGCCCGTGGCGCACTCGGGCGAGTGAGAGTGCGGCGCTGGGAGCGCAGTAGCCCTCCTGCCGCGGGTTTGGATCCTATGTAGGGATGATTGGTGCGCTCACTGTCTGAGCGCGGTGCGGCCAGTCTCAAAAAGGACAAAAAAATATATATACAGGTATCCCCTATAATCCAAATCTCTTCAGTTCCTAAATTCAGACTTACTGACGAGTGCGGCGCTGGGAGCGCAACAGCGCTCCTGCCGCGGGTTTGGATCCTATATAGGGATGATTGGTGCGCTCACTGGCTGAGCGCGGTGCGGCCAGTCTCAAAAAGGACAAAAATATATATATACAGGTATCCCCTATAATCCAAATCTCTTCAGTTCCTAAATTCAGACTTACTGAGTAATAAGAGTTTAGATAGCAAGGGATTTATCTGAAAGTTTATCAGAATCTATTTGGTTCCTGCATTTGGATTTGGATAGCAAGGAATATTTAGATTGGAAACTGTATTGAAGACCTTGTTCATTTTTTCTTTTCCCAAAGGAGGTGAAAGTGCCTCTTTTGGCTACATAGATTTCTCTCCACTGAATAGTGGCATGATTGTGACTTGATGGAGGTCATAGAGCAGGTCATTTTAAGGACAGGAGTAGAAAAAACTGAATTCTTTTAATTCTGAGTCCAGGAATCTTGCCACAAGGCCTTCATGTACCCTAAGCAATTAGGGTCTGTCAACACTTCTTCATAGTACTTACCAAAATGAACAGGAGATTCCAGAGATTAGTGGTAATTATGGGAACCATGACTAACTGCCCAGGGAATCCCAAGGGCTTGATATAGAGGATATTTGTGAGAGTAGGGGCGAATATGTTTGGGATACCTTTGAAATAAAAAATTTGTATGGTAGGAGAATTTAAAGTTAATTCTAGAATGTTTTAACTTAATCAATTTTGAAGAAGTAGCATTCAGCCACAGTTCACATTTTTTCTCCTTTTTGCTTCTGTGAATACTAGTCTTGGCTTGGTTACTTGCTGTTGACTTTAAATCCTCTTTATATTTCACAAAAAAATGTTTGCATGGGGATGGGTAGTGGGGCAAACGTTGTAGGATATGTGAAGATGGAAAGAATGTTTGAGAAGGACAGGAGTCCTTTAAACTGCTTTCAAGGCTTGCATATCCCTATTGTAGCCTTACAGGCCAAGACATGGCGCTGGATTATACATTAGACTTAGCATCAGCAGCTGTAGAAAGTAATACATGTGCAGTGGTACCACTTAGATCTGTGGGCTTTGATTTTTCTGTTTTAACCAGTTTTAGTTGAGTAGTTCACAGAGGGCTGATTTTCACTTTGTGCATGGCATAATTTTACAATGTTTATTCTTAGGTGGGTTTGCTGAGTTCTCTCGTTGTTTCCCTGGCCTCTGTGAAGGAAAATCCACTCTAGTCCCTACCTGCATTTCCCAGCCTTGCTTACCTGTTGCCAACATTGGGCCAACCCGAATTCTTCCCAATCTTTATCTTGGCTGCCAGCGAGATGTCCTCAACAAGGTGGGTGCTTTGAAAATGTCCTTCATTGCTGGGTTTATTGTTAGCAGCTGGAGAAACAGCAGTTGCCCATTACCT